TGTTTGCTTTACTCTTGGAAAGATAAGAGAAACAAACACACATTATGTCCAGATTTTTCCATCCTTGTGTAGGTTAATCTTCTAATTATGATTTAGATTTCAAATTTCTTAGAATTTTATGTCCTTTTAGGGTCACGGTGTTTTGAGACAAATATTTTGCACTCTTTTTCAAAATAACTAACCTACCAGAAACTGCAACTATTTATTTAGAAATATCTTGAGAAGTGTTTAGACACACAGTTTAATTTTAGCATTGTGATTTAAATGACAAAGCCTGTTTCTTTTCATTCGTCTGAATCTTATTTAAATAGAGTCACATTTCTGTCTGTTCCTTATTTACTTACTATAAATTTTTGAAGCAGTCCCAGTCTTGGCAGGGTTAGGGTTAGGGCTCACGCTGAACTTTGTTTAGAATTTTTAATATTGGAAAGATATATATTCAGTTGACATTTCTACTTTATTTGTAGCTATCATTTACTGACCAACCCTTGTTCCCCTCACCAAAAAGACATAGGTTAGAAGGAAGGAACTATGTCATGGCTTCTTTTTTGGTTGTGCTGGTTATAATATATCCCTAGGGTTTTGGACTGCTAGTTTTGGGCTACTTGTTTCCTTTGAACTAGGAAGTTCCTGTTTCAAAGAGCACTTGACCTTTCAATGGAAGGACTTAAATATTCCATTTAGCTGGAGATGAAAGGAGAAATGTGTTTGGCCTGTCTAGGTGGTAGGTCATGTGAGAACATTAGAAATGCAAGACTAAAAGAATCAATGTCTAGGTTACCCCTTTCTAAATTCATGACTCTATTGGGAATATTTGATAGCAGTGAACCTTACATTCACTCTATAGTATTTATGGAGTGCCTACTGCATGCTACACCACATGTGGTTCAAAACCACTGGGAAAAGTGGTAGCAAGACCGAAAAGGCTCCTGCCCGGATGGAGCTTATATTCTTGCGAGGAGAGAAACACATAACTGAGAAAATTAATAAGATACTTTCAGGTAGTGTTAAATGCTGCGAGATACCTGAGTAATAGAATACCACCTGCTTTGTCAAGGGTAGTTAGGGAAGGCCTCTGTGAGGAAGTGACATTTGAGCCAAATCTCAAATGATGTGAAGGAACCTTTCATGCAAAAGCTTGGGGATTTTTACAAAGTTCATGGATGAGAATGCTTAAGAACGCTGTCCTATTTTGAGAAGTGAGGGAATAAAAGGAGACAGAAACCCTCTGGAATCAGGCAAAGGCTTCTGGCCAGTTCACATGCATCGTATGGAGTGCTTTGAATGGTAGCATGGCAGGGGAAAGTGCCTTGTGCGTGGCCAGATCTCAGCTGCTAGCATATTCTCTGCATGTATGCCAGCAACTCTAGGCACTTATGGCTTGTGGAGCCCAGTCTCCTCATGCATAAAATGACAAGGTTGGACCAGCCACCTCCAGCCTCTCTTTTCTCTCTTGTGACTTTGAATTTATCTGATATTTATTGGCATTTAAAGGAGGATGATTAGTTGGTAAAATGCATTATTATTTTTGTGCCCAAATATGTCAAAATGAAAGATTTACTCAATGATACTAATCTTTAAAATGAGATTTATTTAAGACTTAGTCATCTGTTATACTTGTCTAAAAACAGCACAAACTGTGTATTGCTTAATTCAGTGTGCTAGATATATTCTTAATAATGAAAGGACGTCTTAACTCACCTCTAACCTCTCAACGATCATAAGAAATAAGCTATAAGTTATGCCAACTTTTATGATGGTTCCCATGAAATAGCCCTAACTCAAACAAGCCAGTTAGGTTTCACAGATGTAAACTGTGATAGATCTTCTTTTTCTTTCTTGGTGATTTATGTGTCAAGGACATTGTTGTGTTTTCTTTAAAAAGAAAAAAGTACTAAACCATATTTAGAAACCATAGTCTATTTAGCCTAGATAGTTCTTTCAGGTTGTAGAGGAAATGCTACAAATGTTTAATGCTAAAAAATCTTGTTATGATAGTGTATTGCTTTCTTGGAAGGCTGTTAACTGATTTAGTTTAGTTTTGGTTTAGATTTAGTTTTGCTCAAAGCAGGAATTTGAAAAGCTTTAACTATGAAACATAGACATATACTTTCATTTTTATCAATGAATGAAATTGCACAGTTTCAAGTTCTTGGATTTGTCACACATTCAATAAATACTTATTAAAAAACATCTGTTATGTTGCAAGTGTTGGGGATGTAGCTGCCCCTCACAGTCCAGTGGATGTAAGTAGTAAAACTACATTAGCTCAGAGAGAAATTTCAGAAGAAACGATGGAGCCAGCAGTCCCTAAAATGAAGTTCACATTCTGTCAGCAAAATGTTAGCAGATGGGTTTGCCACTTTAAAGAGCTTTGGAATAGCTTTATTACTTCATCTCCTTAACGTGAAGAGATACATGTTCTTTTTGAAATGCTAATTGTTTTAAAAGCTAAAAACAAAACCTTTGGAAAACTCAAAATCTTCCTTGAAATAATTTTGCTCAGAGCATTGATCCCTGGTTTAGGAGTCAGTCTTGCCAGAGATTCAAACTTGAAAGTAAGTTGGAAGGAGGTGTGAATGAGGAAAGATTCAAATCACTGAGCCCAGCTGGGCTTGGTGGCTCACACCTGTAATCCTAGCACTCTGGGAAGCTGAGGTGGGAGGATCGCTTGAGGTCAGGAGTTCAGGACCAGCCTGAGCAAGAGCCAGACCCTGTCTCTACTAAAAAAAAATAGAAAGAAATTAATTGGCCAACTAAAAATGTATAGAAAAAATTAGCCAGGCATGGTGGTGCGTGTCTGTAGTCCCAGCTACTCGGGAGGCTGAGGCAAGAGGATCACTTGAGTCCAGGAGTTTGAGGTTGCTGTCAGCTAGGCTGACGCCATGGCACTCTAGCCTGGGCAACAGAGTCAGACTCTGTCTCAAAAAAAAAAAAAAAAAAAACCAAACTAAAACCACTGAGCACATGTGTTCTAGAAATTGAGCTATGGCAAATTTCTACCTGATTATGTTCCCATTGTGTCTTGTGGAATTGGCAGAAGCTGTGTAGGCAGGCACTCATGCTATGCCTAGTGTTTCAGTAATGCAACCGCAAAGGAATATTTTAAGAAAATTTCTGGTGAAAGACCATTATAATAACTTTAGCCTGAGAGCCTAAGAGAATTATTAGATGATTTTAATTATGGGAGTGATTCATGCTCATTTTGAAAATTTCACTCTAACCTTGGTATAGAGAATAAATTATGGAAAGGTCAAGAATGGAGGCAGAAATAACAGTGGAGATGTATTAACAGTTTAGGAAAAAGGAAATGAAGGCAGAGGTTACAATGAAGGGGTAGAGTTGAAACAATGTTTCCTATATGGAATGAACAGATGTTTAGAAATATTTTGCTGTTACTGAGGTGTTTTTATTTGCTTTTGTTTAGAAAAGACAGTTTGATTAGAAAGCATACTCTTATTGATTGACAAAAGTGACTGAAAAAGCCCAGTCTGCTCTGTTTTCAGAGAATTGACTTTTGGAATATCTAGATGAATCATTTTAATCTTTTTAGACTATAGCTTTGGTTCCGAGACATGAAATGGCTTGAACAATGAAAGTGACATTTTGTAACGTGATTTGACATTAACAGATACAGAGAGTATTAAAGTGCTTTGTTTATAAAACTTGATAACCTTGATAACATTTTATATGTTATAAAATACTAGACTTAACATTTCTCAAGAATACTGAAAGTCTGGTTGTGCTAAAATTGCAGCAGACTAATTGTCTCACTTTATCATATTTTAAATTAGTCAATAACTTTGTTGATATGTGTTGGCTATTGGACAAAATTGGGAAAGTTTCTCCAGTATTATTAAATATAACAAAAATGACTTCATATGTAGCATTTTGGTCAACATTTTTTTCACAAATATACTTATTAGATATTTTTAAATGATTTTATTTTTATTTGCATAATATTAAAAATTAGGTTTGCTGAGTTAAATGTCTGTTTTCTATTATCAGGAAATTTTAAATAATATAAAAAAACTAGAGAGAGAGGATATCTTGTATATAACCAAAAGATATCTTTCAGTTTGTGGCTTAAGGTTCTCTTTCATGAATTGTCAAATGATTGATTAGTAGGATACAAGAACTATTTTGATCATAATTGAATCCAGGAGAGATTTATTTTTTATTTTTGTTTTGATGTTTTAAGTTTACCTCAAGCTATCTGATTACTTTGAATGAATGTCTTTAATTTCTTTGTGTCAAATTCTTATAAGAGAGCATTCTCTTAAGAACAGAGAGGAAAATAGAGATATGTAGAGGTAACATTATTACAATAAAATATATCAGAAGCTCACATTTTCATGATATTCTTAAATACTGTGCATCACGTTGACAGACTAAGGCCTTGGCTCTCATTTTTTATTTCCTAGGTCAATTTGAGGTCATATCTCAATATTAAATACTTTGGATTGCTTTTGTATACTTAATGGATGTTCTTGGTTCCTTATAGTAATGTGGTTGTCAAAATGAAGGAATACACACACGCACATCTGCACATAACCAAGGTCACGGTGCTTTAGCTATAAATGAAAGTCCCTTTCCCCAGTTTCTTCATCATCTTGGGATTCAGTGCTATAAGGTTGGCTGTTATACATTGAACATTCAGAAATTTTTTCATTTTTATTTACAAATATAATATTTTCATGAGTAGAGGCTTTTTCATGAACTTGGATGGATACTCCTCATATTCTTCTTATTCTTTGTTTGGCTTACCTTTTTCTTCTAAACTCAGTGGCATACCCTGTGTCCTTAGAGTCATATAAGGGGCTTTAAATCATATATATAGCTCTTTATATACTTTTTTGATTTTAAAAAAGAGATACATTTTCTTACATTTTAAGTATGACTTCCCTATCTCTCCCCCTGCCCCTGTTTTGCATTTAGTATTCAAATATGTTCAGTGTTTGGCCTTTGCTGTTTTTATTAACTCTCTTCTCTGCTTTTAGTTAACGGCCAGGTCCTTGCCTACTGTGCAGTCTGATGAAAGACTTCAGCCTCTGCTCAACCGCCTCAGGTAATATAAAGCCACAGTCTTGTTATGCTTATAAATCCAAGTGCATTAAAGTGACTAAAGTATGTCAAAGTGGTTAAAACCCCTTTAATTACTAAAAACTTGAAAAAAAATTTTTCTTGCTTTAATTCTGTTATTCAAACTGAAGCTCTTAATACAATATACTTGTTACCCTTAGCATTAGAGTAACATATCACATATGGCCAAAAAGCTCTTTTAATTCAACAACAACCTGCAGAACTACTTGTTAAGTTAAAATTAGTAGAGATGTTGAACTTTACAGAAAGATCTCAAATGAGCTGTTAAATACAAAGCTAAGACATACTTTTATTGGGGATAGATGAAATGGGTGAAATTTTGTTTTTTAATAATTATTTAAAAAAAGAAAGAAAATAGAGAAGAAAAGGAAAAACCCATCATTACTACTCAAAAGTAATATTTCTCCCCTCTATGCTTTTAAAATCCAGTGTTGAAATGATAGTTTATGATTTACTAGTTTTTCCATTTTTTATAAACATTATAAGATTTTTTTCCTATTATTAAAATCTTTCTAAAAACATTATTGTTAGTGACTACATGATAATTTCTTGTATGGCTATACTATTCATCTCCGTTTGGAAGGCATTTACACCATTTCCAATTCTTTTCCCTAGCATAAATAGTATTGTATATAAACCTTTATCTGTGTTTTAGATCATTTCCTTGGGATAGTTTTTCAGAATTAGAATTACTTTTTCAAAGGATGTGATCCATTTTACAGATTTAAGTGTACGTGTGTGCATATATTAAATATATATGTGTATATATATTTTTCTTTTTCAAAAGCAAAACCTCATTCTACTTATACTATCATATCGTATAAGACTGCCATGTTATTATACACTGGACAAGATAGGGCAGCCAAAACAGTTGCTAATAGGTTAGTCATAGAGATACTATTGTGATCATGTGCATTAGGGAAGGCCTCTGTGAGGAAGTGACATTTGAGCCAAATCTCAAATGATGTGAAGGAACCTTTCATGCAAAAGCTTGGGAATTTTTACAAAGTTCATGGATGAGAATGCTTAAGAACGCTGTCCTGTTTTGAGAAGTGAGGGAATAAAAGGAGACAGAAACCCTCTGGAATCAGGCAAAGGCTTCTGGCCAGTTCACATGCATCGTATGGAGTGCTTTGAATGGTAGCATGGCAGGGGAAAGTGCCTTGTGCGTGGCCAGATCTCAGCTGCTAGCATATTCTCTGCATGTATGCCAGCAACTCTAGGCACTTATGGCTTGTGGAGCCCAGTCTCCTCATGCATAAAATGACAAGGTTGGACCAGCCACCTCCAGCCTCTCTTTTCTCTCTTGTGACTTTGAATTTATCTGATATTTATTGGCATTTAAAGGAGGATGATTAGTTGGTAAAATGCATTATTATTTTTGTGCCCAAATATGTCAAAATGAAAGATTTACTCAATGATACTAATCTTTAAAATGAGATTTATTTAAGACTTAGTCATCTGTTATACTTGTCTAAAAACAGCACAAACTGTGTATTGCTTAATTCAGTGTGCTAGATATATTCTTAATAATGAAAGGACGTCTTAACTCACCTCTAACCTCTCAACGATCATAAGAAATAAGCTATAAGTTATGCCAACTTTTATGATGGTTCCCATGAAATAGCCCTAACTCAAACAAGCCAGTTAGGTTTCACAGATGTAAACTGTGATAGATCTTCTTTTTCTTTCTTGGTGATTTATGTGTCAAGGACATTGTTGTGTTTTCTTTAAAAAGAAAAAAGTACTAAACCATATTTAGAAACCATAGTCTATTTAGCCTAGATAGTTCTTTCAGGTTGTAGAGGAAATGCTACAAATGTTTAATGCTAAAAAATCTTGTTATGATAGTGTATTGCTTTCTTGGAAGGCTGTTAACTGATTTAGTTTAGTTTTGGTTTAGATTTAGTTTTGCTCAAAGCAGGAATTTGAAAAGCTTTAACTATGAAACATAGACATATACTTTCATTTTTATCAATGAATGAAATTGCACAGTTTCAAGTTCTTGGATTTGTCACACATTCAATAAATACTTATTAAAAAACATCTGTTATGTTGCAAGTGTTGGGGATGTAGCTGCCCCTCACAGTCCAGTGGATGTAAGTAGTAAAACTACATTAGCTCAGAGAGAAATTTCAGAAGAAACGATGGAGCCAGCAGTCCCTAAAATGAAGTTCACATTCTGTCAGCAAAATGTTAGCAGATGGGTTTGCCACTTTAAAGAGCTTTGGAATAGCTTTATTACTTCATCTCCTTAACGTGAAGAGATACATGTTCTTTTTGAAATGCTAATTGTTTTAAAAGCTAAAAACAAAACCTTTGGAAAACTCAAAATCTTCCTTGAAATAATTTTGCTCAGAGCATTGATCCCTGGTTTAGGAGTCAGTCTTGCCAGAGATTCAAACTTGAAAGTAAGTTGGAAGGAGGTGTGAATGAGGAAAGATTCAAATCACTGAGCCCAGCTGGGCTTGGTGGCTCACACCTGTAATCCTAGCACTCTGGGAAGCTGAGGTGGGAGGATCGCTTGAGGTCAGGAGTTCAGGACCAGCCTGAGCAAGAGCCAGACCCTGTCTCTACTAAAAAAAAATAGAAAGAAATTAATTGGCCAACTAAAAATGTATAGAAAAAATTAGCCAGGCATGGTGGTGCGTGTCTGTAGTCCCAGCTACTCGGGAGGCTGAGGCAAGAGGATCACTTGAGTCCAGGAGTTTGAGGTTGCTGTCAGCTAGGCTGACGCCATGGCACTCTAGCTGGGCAACAGAGTCAGACTCTGTCAAAAAAAAAAAAAAAAAAAACAAAAACCACTGAGCACATGTTGTCTAAATTGAGCTATGGCAAATTTCTACCTGATTATGTTCCCATTGTTCTGTGGAATGGCAGAAGCTGTGTAGGCAGGCACTCATGCTATGCCTAGTGTTTCAGTAATGCAACCGCAAAGGAATATTTTAAGAAAATTTCTGGTGAAAGACCATTATAATAACTTTAGCCTGAGAGCCTAAGAGAATTATTAGATGATTTTAATTATGGAGTGATTCATGCTCATTTGAAAATTCACTCTACCTTGGTATAGAGAATTATGGAAGGTCAAGAATGGAGGCAGAAATAACAGTGGAGATGTATTAACAGTTTAAAAAGGAAATGAAGGCAGAGGTTACAATGAAGGGTAGAGTTGAAACAATGTTTCCTATATGGAATGAACAGATGTTTAGAAATATTTTGCTGTTACTGAGGTTTTTTATTTGTTTTGTTTAGAAAAGACAGTTTGATTAGAAAGCATACTCTTATTGATTGACAAAAGTGACTGAAAAAGCCAGTCTGCTCTGTTTTCAGAGAATTGACTTTGGAATATCTAGATGAATCATTTAATCTTTTTAGACTATAGCTTTGGTTCCGAGACATGAAATGGCTGAACAATGAAAGTGACATTTTGTAACTGATTTGACATTAACAGATACAGAGAGTATTAAAGTGCTTTGTTTATAAAACTTGATAACCTTGATAACATTTTATATGTTAAAATACTAGACTTAACATTTCTCAAGAATACTGAAAGTCTGGTTGTGCTAAAATTGCAGCAGACTAATTGTCTCACTTTATTCATATTTAAAAAGTCAGTAACTTTGTTGATAGTGTTGGCTATTGGACAAAATTGGGAAAGTTTCTCCAGTATTATTAAATATAACAAAAATGACTTCATATGTAGCATTTTGTCAACATTTTTTCACAAATATACTTATTAGATATTTAAAGATTTTTATTTTATGCTAATATAAAAATTAGGTTTGCTGATTAAATGTCGTTTTCTATTATCAGGAAATTTAAATAATATAAAAAAACTGAGAGAGAGGATATCTTGTATATAACCAAAAGATATCTTTCAGTTTGTGGCTTAAGGTTCTCTTTCATGAATTGTCCAATGATGTAGTAGGATACAAGAACTATTTTGATCATAATTGAATCCAGGAGAGATTATTTTTATTTTGTTTTGATGTTTTAAGTTTACCTCAAGCTATCTGATTACTTTGAATGTCTTTAATTTCTTTGTGTCAAATTCTTATAAGAGAGCATTCTCTTAAGAACAGAGAGGAAAATAGAGATATGTAGAGTAACATATTACATAAAAAAATATATCAGAAGCTCCACATTTCATGATATTCTTAAATACTGTGCATCAAGTTGACAGACTAAGGCCTTGGCTCTCATTTTTTATTTCCTAGGTCAATTTGAGGTCATCATCCAATATTAAATACTTTGGATTGCTTTTGTATACTTAATGGATGTCTTGGTTCCTTATAGTAATGTTGGTTGTCAAAATGAAGGAATACACACACCACATCTGCATAACCAAGGTCACGGTGCTTTAGCTATAAATGAAAGTCCCTCTCCCAATTTCTTCATCATCTTTGGGATTCGATGCTATAAGGTTGGCTGTTATACATTGAACATTCAGAAATTTTTCATTTTATTTACAAATATAATATTTTCATGAGTAGAGCTTTTCATGAACTTGGATGGATACTCCTCATATTCTTCTTCTCTTGTTTGGCTTACCTTTTCTTCTAAACTCAGGCATACCCTGTGTCCTTAGAGTCATATAAGGCTTTAAATCATATATATAGCTCTTTATATACTTTTTGATTTTAAAAAAGAGATACATTTCTTACATTTTAAGTATGACTTCCCTATCTCTCCCCCTGCCCTGTTTTGCATTTAGTATTCAAATATGTTCAGTGTTTGGCCTTTGCTGTTTTTATTAACTCTCTTCTCTGCTTTTAGTTAACGGCCAGGTCCTTGCCTACTGTGCAGTCTGATGAAAGACTTCAGCCTCTGCTCAACCGCCTCATGAATATAAAGCCACAGTCTTGTTATGCTTATAAATCCAAGTGCATTAAAGTGACTAAAGTATCAAATGGTTAAACCCTTAATTACTAAAAACTTGAAAAAAAATTTCTTGCTTTAATTCTG